GTCTACAGTTGCATAATAATTGGAGGAAACGTTTCGAAAATCAGCATAATACACAATAGAGGTGCATCCTGCGGTGCATCCTGCGTTTATTGAGCAGTTGGTGCATTGTACGTCCGACCAGTGTTGTCGATGATGCCGAACGGGTATGTCTCTCGAGTTGTTCCAGAATCTTTAAGAAACTCGGTCGATGGCTCTAACCTTGAATTATGTTTATTATGTCTGTCGCAAAAAGTTGAAGGTCGAAATGATTGAAATCAAAGTTTGTATTGGATGTCTATGAGTTCTGTTTTGTTGTGGACAACGGTTTCCGTGTCATACTGCCGGTTTACCCACAGATTATAAATGCTGTATTACGTCATTTGTAGGAGTAGGTAAGTACCTACCTCTACATGTTGGAGAACGTCGCGTTGGTAGCCATATTTATAGTGTAAAGTGGTAAGTGCTATTTTCGACTGGAATTATTTGTGGGAGTATCTTTATTTGTACGTAGCCTACTCATTGTGTTTTAATACAATTGCAGGCAAATTGATTTACATACCTTTTCAAAATCAGACTAAAAATATGTATCTATATTTTATCCCGTTGAACAGACATGAGACATTATACCGCCTAGGAGGCCCGTTAGAGGAAAAACATACTTCATTTACATTAACCGTGATCTGAAGTTTTAAGTAGTAAAGTAATGATAACGATAGCTAATCACGAAGATCATATTAGTGTTTAATAAGTATCTACTTAATTGTAATTAGTATAAATTACTGGATAAATTATTGTGTTTTCGGCTTATGGCGCAGACTCAACGCCAGTAGCAGCACGACAGTCGCCGCGTCGCGGGTCGCGAAATGCTGCTCATGAATATGAGCCTCTAGCATGGCTTGAAACTAGTCGAGTTCCTCGTCGAATTACAACGTGAGTAAGCCGAAAACATAATAATTTATTTAGTATGTTTCACGAAAGTTACAATACAAGTATAAATTACTGGATAAAAATTGTTTGAAAATGCAATAGATAAAACGCAACGTTAACAAACTCCATTATTTCGGTGATTCGGTTGCTTCTCGACCTTGTCCAGATTACAGGTTTTATAATTTATTACTAGGTAGCAAACTGCAAAAAATATTTTATTCTAAGATACAAAATTTCTGAATAAAGATTTTTTTTACAAGCTAGAGCATTAACGGCCCGTGACAATTCTAAGCAAGATAATGAGCCTCTTATAAATAGAATTAGTACGTTTTTAATTTTTTTTATATCTAAATATGCATAGACATAGGTACATATGTATAGTTTTTTTTAAGTGGGGAAAATCATCGAATGACTGCTCCCGCCTGGGTGAGGCGGGAGGGAGTGTCAGACTCTTACTGACTAAAAACCATCCCGTTCCTTCTCCTGCACGTCGAGTCGGAGCCCCGGTTACCCGTTAGGTTCTCCGCGACTCCGAATCGGCATCGGCCCTGTTGGGTCCCATCTGCGGTGGTCTGGTGGCGTGGACATATTTATAGTAGGAAAGTAGAAAGAGCTGTATATTGACATTTTTTTAAATGAATGATTTGGGCGTCATGTACAATCGATATCGAAGCCAAAAATATGTTTTCTAGAATTTTTGTCTGTTTGTTCGTATGTATGTCGAGGCTTAATTATAAAAGTACTGCACGGATTTACTTCAAATTTTGCACAAGTATTACTAACAGGTTGGGTGAACATATAGGTTAAATATTATCACGCTATCATCTACAAGGAAGGAGCTGTGAATCACTATTCCACGCGGACGAAGTCGCGAGCACAGTTAGTAGTAGAATAATGTAGTAAAGACCTAAGTAATCGCGTTATATAAAAGATAAGTACTAAGCAACAACTTGGTAACCAGTTTAGCATCGAATACAGGTTTTATTTGGAGCCATGATCTAATGATTTTATAACACCTACATTCCGACCTGCCTATAAGAAATAAAAAAGTTCATATTAAGTAGTAGGTATGTACGTCTTATTACATATCTTCTAGAAATCTATTAATTATACTAATATTAACCTGTTGAAAATCATCCCCTAAATTTGTTTATACAAAAGCAGTCTCTCAACATTGGAAATACGGTCTATAATGTAGTTAGTGGAGAGCGGTCACCGGTGACCGTTTGGAGATTTATGGGAATACAAATGTCTCGTTGGCCGAGTGGTCCCAAGTACGACTTTCGTGTCCGATTCCCGAGTCGGGGAAAATATTACTGGGTTTTAAAAAAAAATCTCAGTAGTACAACGGGGTCTGGAACTGTGCCCGGTATATGGCAATAGGTTCACCTCCTATCAAATTAATATAAATAGTGAAAAGTGGGTGTCACATTGCAGAGTGGTATTGAGTGCCGGAGTGCCATAATATACACACACTTCGGCCTACCCCTTCGGGAAGAAAAGGCGTGATGTTATGTTATTATAAAGGATAATATGTGAGAATGTTTGTTTGTGTGTATACATACATATACATACATACACATTTTTTTTAAGGGGGAAAATCATCGAATGGCTGCTCCCGCCTGGGTGAGGCGGGAGGGAGTGTCATACTCTCTGACTAAAAACCACCCCGTTCCTTCTGCACGTCAAGCCGGAGCCCCGGTTACCCGTTAGGTTCTCCGCGACTCCGAATCGGCATCGGCCCTATTGGGCCCTATCTGTGGTGGTCTGATGGCTCTTAGAGGCGCGCGCGGAACGCGACGCGCCGTACGCTCGGGTCTGTTTCTGGTCGGACGTATATACACATTATGTTACTCAATCACTTCAAAACAGCAGAAGTGATCGGATTGAAATTTGGAACAGGGATTACGATCTGAAATAATACATTTGCGGCTAAGGCTTTTTATCTCAAGTTCCCGTGAATTAAAAGTCATGGGCACATCCGTCTATAAGCTATTAAAAGAGCTGGTTTGGTCAATTAGCACCAGAACTTAGAACATGCATTAACAAAAGAAAATAGACACGATAACAAGAACTAACAGTACAAATGAATTCTTTGATTTCCAAATCCATATGTTAATGAATTCCCTATGTAATTTGAACAATAAAATTAAATATAGTCACTGAGGAATGTTTTATCAAAAACAATAGTATATACATACCTATCGTGTATTGTGTACATTATTATGTACTGTTGTTCATGTATTTACAAATTTCTTATTGTTAACTTGAATTGGAATTAGTTTAATGATAATGTGTGTGTTTTGGCAATCTGTTTATACACCAATCGATAGATTTTTAGGTTCTGTATACAATTTATATAATTGATTAACCCAACACATCTTTATATATTCTCTGTATGATTATCCTGCTTGAATAACAGAAATTATCCTTTCAAGTCATAAATTTTTGCATGCAAGTAAATAAACTGAGTTGCTTAACCTCAATACTTAATTACTTTATAATAACTCGTACAAAAACTACTAAACACATTTAGATGCAATCAGCATAAATAATAACAAACAAGATAAAACATTTATTCTACTATTCTGCCAGTACCTATCTCATGCTGCATATTTCTCACCGATCAACAACAGACTGAAACCAATAAACATAATAATTAATCCAATTCCGTATACAAATCAAAGTTGACCGAACGACCTTGAAAATCCCCCATAAGTTCGAAAGTCAATGTCACGCTCGCGGCACGTATAAGGTCAATGGTTGGCGCGTGATAGATGCGCGCGCGCCACTTGTGTAACAGCGCATGCGTGGACAATCAAATTGCCCTAACTAGCTGACTAGCCGCTTTGCTGAGGATCTGAAGGTTTCCTTCCTTCGCGACAATGTCGTAATTGTTAGATAAAGGTGCCTTAGTAAATAGAGAATGTTTTGTAATAGGAACAGAAAGGAGTTAATTGGTAACGCAAAAACTGCTGGTCTGAGTTTGATGAAATTTGACATAGGATAGATTATTAACTACTGTTAAGTTTTTTAATTGTTTTTTTTTTGTCACTCCGCGTGAATAATAGGAATTTATTATATTTTTTGCTTTTATTTTTTAAAAAAGTTGTTTAAAAATAATAATCAGATACAAAGTATTCATTCTTTTTCCAATAAATAATACAACTGCGATTGAGAATCCATTAATAACGACAATAAGCCTTGAAACACGATTGCTGTGGACAATTAGGCAGTCCTACCACGATTATAATATTATAATATAATCATATCAGTTGTGTTTACACAACAAAGTACATACAATTGTAGCAAATAGCACATGCATTTCCTATCCTGACTAAGAAAAAAATTAATTATCTACTTAAGTAGTGGTTAATTTTTACAGTCTTTTTACTCATTTCCTGACATTCAACTTTATGCAGCATTACTTAGTTCGAGTACCAAGTATCAGAAACCCTTGAACCCACTTCGTTTGATTACTGCAACCAACCAAATCAAATCGTGAACAGTGAACGAGTTTTCAGTGTTATTGGACTCAATACATAGTCTACAATACACATACATACTATGTACATGACGTCATATCAATGGCCTATTTTTTTTTTTTTTAAGGGGGGAAAATCATCGAATGACTGCCCCCGCCTGGGTGCGGCGGGAGGGAGTGTCAGACTCTTACTGACTAAAAACCACCCCGTTCCTTCTCCTGCACGTCGAGCCGGAGCCCCGGTTACCCGTTAGGTTCTCCGCGACTCCGAATCGGCATCGGCCCTATTGGGCCCCATCTGTGGTTGTCTGATGGCTCTTTGAGGCGCGCGCGGAACGCGACGCGCCGTACGCTCATATCAATGGCCTATAAGAGGCCACTGCAGACCAAAGACATATATAAGGTTTGATCATTAATCACCAGGCTCAATGCGGGTTGGCAATTACAAACTTATAATTAGAAATTATAAGTTCAAGTTTCTACCCGATGTTTCCCTTTAAAGTTAGTGTCAGTGGAGTCTAAATAATTTTCTTATAATAATTTTATTTATAGTTTTAAGCATCTAGTTAAGTTTAGTTTATAGTACAATAAATTAACTGTTAACACTCACCATGGGGCTTTCTCCATTAAATTTTGCGCTGCTGCATTCTTACTTGAATCTGCTGTTGTAGCCATTTTGAATTCTGGAACAGAGGTACAAACTTTTATCAAATTGTTTTTTATAAGACTGATGTAATTACAACGGACTGAAAACCTAAGTTAAAGGACTCGCGTATAATAGTGCATGGAGTTTAAAATTCGAAAACAAAACATCTCCTATCAACATGAAGAATATGGTACTTGCTAACTAGTCAAAATTCAATACTTTTTTCGAACTGTCAAAAATGACAGTTTTTTATAAGTTATGTACGAGATTGTGAATTGTGACGTCACGTTTTTTAGCGTCAAACAGAGGCCTTAGTACGAGTTTCATTTACGTTTAAAGTATTCGTAACGAGTACGCATTCGGCGCTCTGATTGGTGGGTTCATTGGCGCCGGCCAATCAGAGTGCCGAACGTGTACTCGTTACGATTACTTTACACGTAAATGAAACTCGTACTAAGGCCTCAGCATACTTATTTCTTAAAAATTTGATGGATAAATAATAAAATTAAGTTGGTCATAAAATCAATTAATGAAAGTGTGATTATTTTTTAATATTTTACTGTATTCGAAATAATTTATTCAGTCGAAATAATTTATTTTTGATTAAGGAAACAATCATCTAGACTGCGTTTAACGGTTAAACATTCATAGTTTTTTTTCTTAACTCATCGAGTACCGTCATTATAGACACAATTATAGAACAATAGGTTGCGGTCACCGGTGACCGCTTGGTGTTTGACAGTTTAAATCAATGTCATCAAAAAACAATTTTCGTAATTAACTGAACACAAAGTTCAGTAGTTCAAATTTAAATTCGATTCCAATTTCGAATTCAAATCTAAATTCAAATTTTTCTTGCATCATTCATTTATAGGTACAATAGGTAGGTGTTACATAATTGGGTTTGGGGTAGAGACAGTCATTCAGTTCAATGACTTGACGTCATTATTTACGTTTGGAATTAAGAAAAACAATACTACATTACATTGATTACAATTCAGTCGGGCCAAAGGGGGCACCAAGTAACATTGGACGCGTTATTGACAGTCATCACTTTTACTTATCCTTCAATATAAATGTACCTCCGTTTAAATGTGATTCTATAAAAATATCAAGTAGTAGTTTAAGTATACAGGGTGGATTGTTGTAATGCCATCTGAAGGGAAAGTACTCTTAATACTTAAGATAGAAAATTTTACTCTAATAAAACATTTCTTTATTTTTGAAAAGAAAGAAAACGGCATTCGAATATTTTTAAAAATTCTATTGCCACACGGCCTCATCGTTCGCTTGATAAAATTGACGTGTAAAAGTGCTGCCTTGTAGTCTCATTTGCAGAAATAAATTCACTTGTTTCACTTTTTTCATGGTAATCGAACCGACTAAAATCTATAAAAGTGTCTTAGTAAAAATGTCTTAGTACTACAATTACTACTATACTAGTACTACTACTATTCGATAGCACGTATCGATGAAAATAGAACGTACTAACTAATAATTTGCAACAAACATTTGGATTTTATATTGAACTTTGATACTAGGTAGTCAAACACACGGCAACCCAGGATTTCTCAAATAGGCTCGAAAATCTTACAAGTGTTTGGTCAACATAGACTAAAAAACTTTAAATCCGTGGCAAAGTAAATTGAACCTTACCTACACTGTTTGTTAGAAGTTATTATTTACACCTAATCAAAATTCAACCACGTGTTTACTGTAACATTTAGCACGTTGTTAAAATGTATGCGTAGCTAGTTCTACGGGCCACGGTAACATTCATTTATGTTCAAAGTTTTAAGCTTTTTTACCAAATAGTGAATTTACGAGGCCTTATGTTATTTAGGTAATTAATCTTCTACTATATAAAAATAAGTCGGATTTTCCTTCCTGACGCTATAACTCCAGAACGCACGATTCTTTATCTTTTAATCACTAAACGAAATTCCAAATCTACATAAAACGAAGCCGGGTTTGCTAGTATTATATGTATTTTTGAATTCAGTTACAAACTATAGTACAGTATGTTGTTATTTTGAACTAAAAAAAATACGTTGTTATCCCTCAGGTATTTTTTCTTATCATCAATAATACTGGATCATAAAATCACTTATACGTTAATTAAAAAAAAAGTTTTTATTATGTTTTGTTCTCAAATACAAACTTCCTTACAGGAAGTCGTTACGTCAAAAAGATTAAATCTGACATGACATTGCAATTGTATGTTACTTAAAATAACGAAAAATTTTAATATGAATGATATTCATTCAGAACTCCATACAAACATAAAAAAATACAATAAGGTTGAAAAATATAAGGTCGTCTTCTGAGATCCTCTCTTTAGAAGCACTATGCCTTAAACTGCCAAACACCAAGCGGTCACCGGTGACCGCAACCTATTGTTCTTTAATTGTGTCTGTAATAACGGTATTCGACGAGTTAATGATTAGTCCGTTTCGTGTAAAGAATTGAAATCTTAAGTCGACATTCTTCAATTTTTTTTAGGTACATTTAAATCGGATTTAACGCATTGTCTATAATGTCTGACCCTACTGTTATAATATAAAACTACTAATTGATTGTTAAGGATTTACGGATTGGGGAGATAGGGGAAGAGGGGGGTACCTAATTGAGCCTCCGATAACCTCACTCACACGACGAAACACAACGCAAGCGTTGTTTCAAGTCGGTTAGGCCGTGGTATGACTTCGGTCAAGCGGCCCATTCGTGTCGAAGCATGGCTGAACATTTTAAGTCTTTGACTGCTGGTATATAAGTATAAGCACATCTTCCGATAATGATGCACATAATATGCCGTGCATAAGACACTTTAAGGGTCAACAAGAACCTACCACATAGATAATAGTACCTGCGATGTTATGTAACACGGTTTATCGATTGAAGTTCCAGTCTCTAATAGATTATTTATTTCTCAGACATCTGTTGTTTCTCATCGATTCTTTTCAAGATATTTTCATATGTTGATGATTTTATTACTAAACTTTCTATTGATGTTTTTAGGGTCTTTCAGGGTAAGATAGAAAGAAAGAAAGTAAAAGCATTTATTTGGCTAACGGCACACAAACAAAGATAATTATTTAATAATTTATTTTCTTATTCATTTTACTTGTGAGAATTGCAAATCACTGCAAACATTTCTGATTAGGTACATACTAATATGAAAAGTAACAAATCTGAAATAGAAATTATACTCTTCTATATCCTAGAATAGAAGAGAAGCTACCATGAGAGAGCTCAACAGCACCTTGAAACCAACTACCATAATTTAAAACATGAGAACAAACATTACGTTAATTGGTTCAGCAGTTCTTGAGTTAGTTGATTGCACAAACGGACAGTTAAGTGATTAGTGTTTTACTACAGGCTGTAGATTTAATTCTCTATCATTATCTGTACTAGGAGCTAAAACTACTGTATCGTTAGTGATGGAGGAAGTATCAAAGTTAGGCGGCCATACATATGGTATTTGATGGCTAAGTCGTGAAGGTCTTGTAATTTATATCCGCAGACAGAAGGCACCTTCTAGATATTAGATAAAAAGTTCGGATAAACGTCAATTTTGTCTTAAAAAAATAAGTAAACGTATTTGTTTAGTTTAATCTAGTAATTAAAGCAATATGTTTGTTTATGATCACAAGTTAATTGAGGGTTATCGGTCATCTACCTATACAGATAAATAAAGTTGAAGTATCTGTTTGTAATATTGAACTTACCGCATTTTACTACAATTTTTGTCTGTCTGTATGTTTGTACTGACTAATCTCTAAAATGGCTGGACCGATTTCGACGGGACTTTTATTGGCAGGTAACTAATTTACTAAGGAGTCACATAGGCTACTTTTATTTTAGAAAAACGTAGACGAAGGTGCAGGTTCAGCTAGTTTATATTAAGGCCAAGATAATAAGGATTTTTGAAATGTTTGGAACATAAGAAAATTCAATAAATGTTTAAGGAAAGGAGATTAAGCATTTCAAAATAGAAACTATAGAAAGTTTAGGACTTTGCCACTATTGTTCACATCACACAATATTGTTCAGCCAATTGCCATTCACCTAGCTCCAACATAAACACAATGCTACCAACAAAAGTTTTCGAAATCTTAACCACAAGAATATTTCACCTAAGAATGCAGACCTCACAAAGTTAACTTACAATTTATCAAAAGGTATTGGAACTGTTGCCGAAGACGACTTTGTAATAGATAGTGCCCCAGGCTGCATTAGATGTATTTTATAGTGACCCAACATGCATCCAAGTCAAGGCTATCAAGACCTGAGGCAGGTAGGTAATTGTAAGTAGCTTTACAGCATTAATATAACTTTATGAATCTAGAAGATCTTTCCAATACTTGATGCAATATTTTACCTTAAGGTTAGGAGGATTTTTTTTTAACTTGGGAAAATCATCGAATGGCTGCTCCCGCCTGGGTGAGGCAGGAGGGAGTGTCAGACTCTTACTGACTAAAAACCACCCCGTTCCTTCTCCTGCACGTCGGAGCCGGAGTCGGAGCCGGGTTACCCGTTAGGTTCTCCGTGACAAGGCTAGGAGGATGAGTTTTATTTTTGCATGCTTCAGTTGGTTTAATAACCAATTAACTTGATTAGGATGTTGGCATCGTGTCATCTGTTGTATAGGAATTCAATAGGTTGACTACGAGAAGAGGTAGACATATTGATTGAAAGGGTATGGTGTAACATTTATGGAAAATGTCTTAAAATTAAACATTTTCCATTGATGACGACCTGCTGGAAAATAATGTAGTTACAAATTTTATGCAATTTATTACCCCCTTAAAATAACGAAGTTAATCAAATAGATTTGAATGAAAAATGCCGGGCAAATCAAATATGACAAATACATACCTTGACGTTGAAAAATTGTGATTAAATTGCAATTATAGTGATAAACATAGCTTAAATACATTACACTGATTATTTTTTTTTATTTATTTTCTCAAAACTTTCTTATTTAATTTAGTGACCGGTGCAAAGTTTGTAGTATTTGTTAGTAATTATGTATTAATTATGTTTTCAAAATAAACTCCAATCACGGAACCATCGTAGCCATATACCGAATTAACATAGAAATCTAGTAGATATACCTACACATGATAATTTAGAATAGCAACTGCTGAAAGATATGTACCAGATAGACCCGCAAGTTATTATAATGCATACCGTTATTGAACAAAACCGGATAGTTTTAAACACCTGCATATTAAAAAAATATTGTCATCATCCTTACTATTGCATAAGATTTTAGTTATATTTTAATGATGTACACACATATCAATTGTTTATAATGACGTTTTTCTATTGGACATGCTTTATCTATATTAGATAATAATATAATATGTCCACAGTGCGTTTGTTTAGATAACACTATCAACAAATGCATTTTGTCGAGAACCGTATCTCTAGTGTTTCGTGCAACGAATTCTAATTGCGGTCTCATTTAAGATAGTGATACATTCAAACAATACATCGATCTGTTTGTGTGTATAATTATTTTATTTATCGGACAGTATTAGCTGGTTGTTTAGTAGAGGAGAAATATATATTTTTTAATCTTTATTTTATAAGTAGTATTTGTTCCTAAGAGAAAAAATGTTAGCTCCAATATAGGATACAAGAATTCAATACATACTATAATGAAGAAGCTAAACTATTTACAGGGAAGAAGAAATAAATTATGGAAGAAGAATTATTAACCGCCTATACTAATAACCGATGTGTGACTAAAGTCCAAAGATTTAGGTTGATTTTTACACGATTTATTTAGCTAGCCCTGTTTGTTTGTTTAGGTCTAATTTAGTATTTGGAATTTTACTCTGTTCCTGACAAAGGGGGCTTACTCTTGAATCCAAATCCGATCGGTCGACTTTGGTATTGTGAAATTTCGTACACTTGACTTGCAATACGCCATTGTATCAGTATTGCCTGGATATTGAATGAACTCAATGGTATTGAGTTTGAATATAGGTATATTCCATATTCTGAATGCTTTTAACATCTACAAAAGGGGTTATATAATTTTGACATTGAATTATTATTGAGATTTTATTGGATTGAAATTGCATTGTAATTAAGATTGGTTTCAAGAGTAAGCACCCTGATCGATCTGATATTTGGTACACAATTTTAATCTTGATGACTATACACATTAAAAACCAACCGCCATTTACAATTGTCGTAGTTTATATTATTTTATTGTATACTACAATATTTAAAAAAAACATTTCTAGACATACCTACAGAGCGGTTGAATACCAGTCCTGAACTTAATGAGTTGCACTTTATATAACCGGTCTATGATCTGGTAAGGAACGCGATAATGGCTCGATCTATTTGATGATATTCAAGATCAATGCTGACATTGCTGACATTGATCTTAAATATCATCAGATCCAACTAGAAAACAGACCTTTATTAAATTTACAATCATTATTTTAAATTAATGAATGTAATTTGTTTGTCATTAGGTATTTTAGAAGTCAAGTAGTTAATGGATCCAAAATTGTACTAAGTTATGGAAAAGAACAAGAATCCTAAATAACATTTGAATATTTATAGGTAGTCGCCTTATCTTTTCCATAAACAGCAGTACCCATGTATGAACTTATTTATGTGGCACAGTTCGATCACCATTTTTTTTCAGCACATGTTTTGAGATAAACAGTTTATATTTAGTTGGGCGGTACATTGACTCCACAAAGATATACAAAGATGCTTTGTTATGTACGTGAGTTATTCATTTTAATTAAGATTTATCGAGTTATATAAAACCGATCAATTATACACAACATTATTCCATTTGAGTAAAACAGTCTTGAATATTTTTCTTGTCATATTTACACAGTTTAAACTACTTAATAATACTTTCATGATAATTTATATTTCGTAATAAAATTTAATTTCAATTTCAATATGGTCTACTATTCAATAATTTGATTCCATTGTTATTGTGACATTGTAACATTCTAAACTTCATTTTACTTTTAAATGAATATAAACTGTTAATTTTATGTAAATACATCAAATGCAGAAGTACTTATTTTCAATGCTATTCGCGCTTACCTTGATTCCTTTTGGTTTATCTTAAATTACTAAAATCATTAACCATGGTTCTTCTCATTTACAAACAAAATAAAACATGAAAGAATCAAAAATTACTTACGTTTAAAATAATTTTGTCAATAATAAATTGACGATCACAGAGAACTGTCAAAATTAGGCGGGAAATAATTGCAAATGGCGGCCGCGTCCGCTCTTGATCGGATGTCGCGAGAGACTAGAGTAATTCACGTCCAGTCAGCCAGTGTTTGAGTCACGCATACAAGTTCAAAATAACGAGCAGACACAGAGTGTAATAAATTGTATATTTATTTAATTATTGCTTTTGGTATGAAGACCTCTATTTCCTTTATTTGTTCGTCTACCTGTTCATGTTAATACAAGTTCAAAATTAGTTGCTATTTTTATTTAATTAATTTGCTAGTTAGAACTTGTGTGCTACCATAGGTAATCTTGGGCAAAGGTCGATTAAAATATTAGTATGTAATTTGAAAAAAAAACATCTTGGATTCGGAAACTCATGCATTAGGTATGTTCATAATGGATTAGATGTTTTTAGACTGATAAAATATTTATTCTTAGTCATAAATTAGGTTTTTAATTAGGGTTGAATATTAATAGCAGCGTTTTGGCTCAATAGATTTTATAATATTTAAGTAGGAAATATTACTAGGTAATATTTAATAATATAAGAAAAGGAAAAACTAAATATGGTTACTCATTTTTTTCTTGCTTTTCTTTAAATTGATGGTTATGGCTGATTCAGTGAATGTTAATAAGAAAGTTAGGATTAAAACCTTATTTGTTGTCGTATAAATCTCAAGAAATGATGAACATAGTGAACGCAGTCGCTAGTTTGCGATGCGTTCTAAATTGGGTCACCAGCTTATAGCTAATTGAGAACGGTACCTACTCTACTCGTAGGGCTGCCTCATTCATGAATAGCTTGACCCTGAACTAACTCGATAACCTTGGAGCCTTTGAACGATTCAATGTCGAAGTTCTTAGGTATATGCAGGAAAATTAGGAACTATAATTACAACTCATTTTGAGCATAAAAGACTATTGGATTGGATTGGATTTTGAATAAAAAACTATTAAAGACTTTGTAAACAGAAATACAGCTATGTAATACGTTCAATGCACAGCTACCTTCATGAGTTTCTGCGAACCGATTGGAAAGGAAAGGAAGTGGAAACGATATTTTTACTTCCCCAATAATATATTACTTTCAGAATTATTTCGTTGCAAGAATCAAGACAGTTTATTGGACACCTTATTCTACGCTGGGAGTTTCTCTTATGTCGGGGGTGCCTTTACAAACATACAATTCTACATACACATGACACTGGAACAATAATTATTTAATTTAATTTTTACATACAATTGTAGGGGTTAGAAAGAAATACAGCTAGGTTATTCTATAACTGTCAATTCTAAACTTTCAAAGTAAGCTGGATCGCATTCTCGTCTGTCATTAGTCGAGATTATACTCCCAACCAATGACATGGCGGACCGTGATCAAGTTCATTTCGATCTTTGAAATTGAAAATTATATAATATTATATAACAGGGATTATTCCAAATTTGAAAAGAAACCTATATTTGTCCCATGTGAATGTGACTCAAAGGTGAAAAGCTGGAATAACTATCATTAAGTTTTATACAGGTAATATTAATTGTGGGATTTTATATAGGTACCTAGGTAGTATAAGAATTATCCCATTCCAATAAATAGTAAACAAAGAAACGATTAACAACTTATAAATGATGGATGTCAGATTACTTTAACAAGATGCAAAGTCTTGACTTTTTTATTCCTTTAGCCATTTAAAGCACGCGGAACTCAAAAACATGACTAGTACGAGTGCAATGACGTCAGAAGTTTAAAAATATACGTCATTTCTTTGTTGAAAGATTCTTGAACTTTTACCACGGCTTTCATTTAGGTACTTGGAAATCCCATTGTTTTAAGAATTACGGAAATTATGCTTAAGGTATTCATTTAAAAAATAATCCTGTTGGAAGGCAAAGCCGCATGTACCTTTAAACTTTTAAATCATACAAATAGTATTAGATTATTTATTGAAAAGATTTCAGAGAATTTTCAAGGCAACATTACTTATACCTACTATATATTTTTTAAGGGGGATAATCATCGAATGACCTTCCGCCTGGGTGAGGCGTTTCAGACTCTTACTGACTAAAAACCACCCCGTTCCTACTCCTGTAGTACGAGCTGGAGCCCCGGTAACCTGTTATGTTCTCCGCGGCAAACCTACTACATTTAGATATTCCATTAACTTCATTGACAAAAATATTAATTTTGAATACTCAATTTATCAATAAGGTGTGAATAAAACAACAGTTTCGTGTACCAATAAAATGTTATTTTTTTAAAGTCGCTAAAATATATACTTTTCTATATTATAATTTTTACAGCCCTAGGACAAATGTCAACGATCTCACACACACGTGCATTTAATGTAATGGCGACCGGCTCTTTGATAAGATGTAGCACTGCAGTACCAGATTGTATTGTTATCAATTACATTCCATTTAATATAGGTACCACAGATTTCAACATCATCAACAGCCTATAAATGCTTACTGCTGAGCAAAGCCTCTTCTTACAAGGAAAAGGTGTCGCGGAGAACCTAACGGATTACCGGGGCTCCGGCTCGAACCGCAGGAGTAGGAACGGGGTGGTTTTTAGTCAGTAAGAGTCTGACACTCCCACCCGCCTCACCTAGGCGGGAGAAGTAATTCGATGATTTTCCCCCCTTAAAAAAAAACGAAGAAGGTTTGAGCATTATTCACCACGCTTGCTCAATGCGGGTTGCCGATTTCAAACTTATAATAATAATTACAAACTATAAGCCCTGGTTTCCTCACGATGTTTTCCTTCACCGTTTCTCAGTGGTGTCAAAATAATGTCATGATTGAAACGAGAAAAAAATTCAGCAATATGAGACCCATAACATAGTCCAGCTCTATTAAGTTTAGCCAGATTTTGTTAACAATTTATATAGGTAATCTTAGTTAACTCTTTGAGCACCGTCATTATAGACACAATTAAAACACAATAGGTTGCGGTCACCGGTGTTCTCGCGGTGTTTGACAGTTTAATAGGCTGTAATAAAGATTAGAAGACGTTATGATGCCAGTTCAAAAAGTTAACAAGGGTCACAAAAATAAGCCATTAATTTGCTATCTGACGTTGAAACTTTAACTGCAGTTAATAAAAATACATTGTATTTTTTTTATGGCATAAGCCAGTAAACGAACAGACGGATCACCTGATGGTAAGTAATCGGCGTCGCCCATGGACACCTGGAACACCAAAGGTATTACAAGTGCATTACTGGCCTTTTGGGGATTAGGAGTTTGAAGATCGTTGGGGATTCAAGAATTGGGGAGATTGGGGAAGCGAAGGGTAATTGGGCCTCCGGTAACCTCACTCACACGACGAAACACAACGCAAGCGTTGCTTCACGTCGGTTTTCTGTGAGGCCGTGGTATTACTCCGGTCGAGCTGGCCCATTCGTGCCGAAGCATGGCTCTCCCACACTTGATAAAACTTTTACTACTGCTATTGAGATTCTGCACCTTATTTATAGAGAAATACATAACATTACAGTTAACTAAAAATCGCGGGTTACTCACGTGAATATACTAAGAAAACCTCTACTAGTTTCGAACCACAGAGGGGTTCTTCCACATGAGCAGCGTGCGCGGTCGCGGCGATGTCGCGCAGCCAGTGTATATCTGCTGTATAGCTGTAGAGTAACCCGCCATTTTTAGTTAATTTAGCTCGTTGGCTTATCAAGCAAGGACTGCGGTATTTGCGGTCTCATAAATATTAATTTCCTACCTTGACAAGTTCGTTGACCTTATTTCTTCAACGTCACACATCCATAATTTCCTGTAAGACTAAAATATAGGTAATACTTAAACACCTACTTCATGTAATCTTTGTGAGGAGTTCTTTGAAAATAGGGGAAGAATCTTAAACTAAACTTTGAAACAAATTCCTGGCTCATTCGTGGGTGCTATACCTAACTCGGAATGTCAGGATCTAATAATGCGTTACCCCAACTCGAAGATGGATCCCAAGAACTCTCTTAGGTTTCTTGATCATTATAAATGTCTGTCAGTCGTAACAATAGCATTAATTACTGTGCCGATAATTATAAAACTTGTTGTTTTTATAATTATTGGATTGTAGTTAGAACATTAGAAGAGCTAGGCACCTAATTTTAAATGATATTTAAGTACCTAGGTACATTATTTCTTAAGTTATAACTGCACTAAAGTATTGAGGTAGATTAAAATTCAGACTTTATTAAGAAAATCACCGGCTGATCAGTTTTATGATATCAATTGCGTCATTATTTTAACAATTAAAAGAATTGGGAAGAATGCTACGAAAAAGAAAGATTCATATTGCGTCATTCTTATTACAAAGCATACTTAAAAACAATCTTAAAATTATTACAAACGTTTGCTCCACACAACTTAGGCAGGTATTGCAAGAAAATCGCTCAATAACGGCGGGCCATATACCAGCCAGATCAACTTCATTGAGGCACCACGACCTTCGCGGGGAATGTGTTCTATTGCCTAAACAAATTGGCCGTTTGAAGTGTTCATTATGCTAGATATTTCTTAAAATCAACGGCCGACGGTTGGGAAAATAATTTCTTACCACATATCGGTATAGAAATCTACTGGCTACAAGGTATGACTGCTGAGTCTCATACTCGGTCTCTGTGCCGAGTCAGTCATGTTCAACTGAACACGAACTAAGTGGTTGTGTTCAGGCTTCGCATCAACCGCTTCATTTCTATGCACTTCCCTATGGTTGAGTGTCAGAGAACGCCTTAAGGCATGAAGTCCACCATTCACTGTAATTTTGTGTAAAAACGAAATAAGTTAAAACAATAGTTTGCTTATCTTGGTTAAAGCGAACTCCGATATTTTCAAACACTCTTTTCCATACAAGTCAACATCGAACTTGCAACCATTCGACTTACTATATGTAAGTAGGTACTTCAAAACATGTATTGGACACTCATTTTAAACAATGAACATCTTGCATGATTTTGTATGAATGACACGTGTTTATGCAAATAAATTATCTTTATCTTTACTAAGGCAATCAGCAACTAATGAGTAATGTTAATTTTTATTAAAGCTGACTAATTTGTGGTATTGAGGATCATAGTCATGGACTAT